TTTTAAGTACCAGTTTAACGATTTATTTGGAAATATTTTACTGGTCTCAAGCATTTTCATTAAGTTAAATCTACTTTAGTTTTAATAAATTATCACTATTTTAAGTTTATAAATCTAAATAGAATTTTTTCGTATACACCACGTAATTATGCACAAAAATGTTTGTAAACTATTCGATGTACCAAGGTCTTTCAGATCTATTTTTGTTTGCATGCGATACGTCATAGATCTTTGTGACAATGATGATCTCTTTGTATTGTGGTAGTTTCTTTGCAGTGTAGTTGATTCGAGAAACAATAGATTAGCTAGCGAAAAAACGAAGCTCTCAGTCAGCTCATTATTTGAAGATTTTCTCTAGTTTGAGATTTTCGCTTACGCGCAAAACGTGCTAATAGAGATCATCTTAAACTTACTGGAACACACTTGCACGCAATTATTATTCTAAAAGAAGACTTGTAATACTGTAAAAATGGTCACACAATACTGTAGATTACCTAAAGTTAGACATGAGCACCGTTGAATACCAGTTCAGTGGTCGTTTGCGCGAGACCAAATGTTCTGAGTTCAAGCCCCGCGTGTAGGGTTGTGGATGGGCACTGCCTAGAAATCTTGTACTGTGCTTCCAGGTTTTCAGTGGTGGTCAAACATTGATCAGCTCATGATTTCAATTAAAACTCAGCGATCTCCACAAGCCTATGCTGATAATAGTGAAAATGATTTAACTACAGATATTTTTTTTCGGTAGTTTGAACTTGATTTGGAACTCAATCATCGTCGTATAATTGTAAATAACTTTTAGCCTTCGAGAAGGGTATTAATCAATAGATCCCTGTAAAATCTAATAATGATTACGATATCAACCTAAGTTTTGTGTAAGATTGACACTGGATTTCAAAAATTATATCACCATTCTCTTAATAATGATAACTCAGTAATAACAACAAAACTATTTTTCTCTGTAGCTTTACATTCCTGAATCAGGGTTGAAATTGCTGAACCAGTGAGATTCTTGTTTGAAATCAGCTTAACTATTTTCAGCACAAATCACTGCTTCAAAAATCTGGATTATTGACAATGAGTAAAATGATTAAATTAATCGATAAATTCGCACACACTGTCTGCAATAATTAAAATATTTACGTTAACTCAGTGACCTTTAAGGTCAAATAAAACAGTGTAACACAAAATTATTTTTCTCATTGTTATGCTAAGAAACAGAAAACCTCAAGATATACATATCATACTTCAAATTGGAGCTGTCTTCTTCATATCAGCATGTTTATTTAAATATGACTAAAATTATTAAGACTATACTTCTAAACATTTTAAATATTAAAAGCAGTTGTTTAGTCGTTCTGTTTCTTCACCAAATTAGTACGAAATAAAATAAACCTGATTAGGATCCGCGAGACGATAGCAACCGATGGTTAGAGACCCTGAATTACATGGCTCAAAATCGTTTGCAATGGCGCAGGTGCATCCACTCTTTGTTCTTCCAAATTCCAATCTTCTGAATTCTTCATGTCTTTCTTTCTCCTCTTTCCAAATTTATTTCACTGTATTATACTCTTTAAATAACATCTTCAAACCCTAATCTTTCCGATCAGTGCTTATACTTTTACTACCCCTACCGTGTTAATGTGGTATGGCAGCTCAAACTGTTGTACGTACGTACGAAGTTCTACGTTGCTACTGACTGACTATTAGCTTCGACTGGATTTAATATACACATCATTCTGAGAAAATATTGTTTCACTGTATACAGCAGCATTACCATATGAAGAGTTATCGATTTTCCGAGTCAATTCCCCGCAATAACGCTTCGTATCAAACCTTTTTGTTGACTCAGTCAGTCAGCTACAACGTAGGACCAGGCACATATGTGCATCGGTCCAGGTTGCCATACCTCATTAGCACAGCAAGATGAACAGCGGATTCATGGGAGTGGTTAGGTCAAAGGTGGTAATATATAGGAGAAAGATTGCAATAAGGATATAGTATAGGAAGAAAGAATTAGTTCGTAGAAAGAAAGATATGAAGTGATTTTAATCTCTTAGTTTAAGGGAAGGCAGAGAGTGTATACACCGACGCCATTGTGATCGATTCTGAGTCATGTCACCAAGAGTCTCCAACCATTGGTTACGAAAGTCACGCGGACCCCAACCAAGTAGTCTGCATCTACCAACATGACTCAGACTAGAAGTTAGTGACTTCAGGCACTGATGCCACGTTTTGATTTGGCCGCCCCTAACTTCCTTCCAACCATCCCCTACACCGGTTAGCATTGCACGTCGTGGTAATCGGTGTTCAGGTATACGTAATACGTGGCCCAACCATCTCAGTCGATGAAGATTCATAGACTGAGATGGTTGACTAGCAGAAGCAACTTTTGAGAAATAGCACACGACACTCACATAAAAACCAAGCCATCTGATTAGATAGAACTCCGATTCTGGTTTCAGACCAAGAAACGTTAATGGTCGATCTCAAAATTTTGTTACAAAAAAACAAACTGAATGTTTCATGGTTGGTTTTCTAACATGTGAAAACTAGATATTGTTTCGTCGAAAACATTACCGATAATCTAAACTGCCTGCTTTTGTATGCATGGCTAAACTGGGAAGTAGACAGTTGATATAAGTAACTCTTTATTGTGCATGATCAGTGGTGATAAATTGTTTGCGGTAAAGAAACCTACGAATGACGTGAATCGGCCAATTGAGATTATTCACACTCCACGTAAGCTCTTCGTCACATACTTCATAACCTTGAACAACCGTTCGCGAATAAAGCTTTAAAAATGTATTTATTACTTAGTTTAAGGGAACTAAAAAAACTATAAGGTCACGCGGAGATAAGACAGTCTAGAATGCCGAGGTAGTAGGTAGGGAAATTATGCTAAGATCAATTCCAAGAAACACTTTCTCCGGTCTCGTACCATACTTTACACCTGAAGCTAATTTATTTAAAGTATATAAACCCTGGTACGATAGGGTATCAGGAAGCGCGTCACATAAAAAATAGAAATGAATGACAGTACAGCCGCTAAGAAAGTAAGAATTAGTAATTGGTGAGATCGTTAAACTAGAAACATTCGTGAAAGACTTCTCCCAGCTAAGGAGGATCATTATTATGAAATGTAACATCAAAAACAGTAGGTTTAAGACAGGCTTCTCTTCTGAGCTATATCTCACACAGTCTCAAGCAACTGAGGTGCGCGATCTCAAGGACCTTAACGGAGTTGTAATTGACCAACAGATCCTAGTCCAAAACAGCAACCTCACATCATGCTGCGCTATTCCATAGACCGACCACCTTTTCACTTTTTGACAAAACGTTGACAACTTACGATGTAGAAGTAATGATGATAACCGTTAAGAAAGATCACACCACCGAATACGGCGTCTCAAGAAAGAGAAATCGGATTACCATCACCGTACCCGAATAAACACTGGTGCCCTGGCACGGCCGAGGGTGTAGGGTCCGCTCTACCCCAGCCACGCGTAAATAGCCTCTGCCAGGGAAGTCCTACTCACTGCCTTCTCGTGGCGGGGGTGTTGTTTGCGAGATTGAGAGGACGAAAAGCGAATGTCCGAAGCTTTAACCGGGTTAGTGGACATGGAGATTCCACCTAGGGTAGTTGGAAAACCCTGATTCCAGACCACTAGTGCACATGGGCCCCAGTATCCTGAGGGAACAAATGGCGTATAAACCAATTGCTGGTCACCTGCTACTATGGGACTGCATCTCCTCACGATGCTCCACTACCTTATGGATCAGACCTTCAGGTCGAATGCTCCGGGCGTGGCCTCTTAAGAAAACCACCTGGTTCGGTTTGGGCACCCGGGTATTATCACAGCCCTTACACAAATAAAATGAGATTTGTGTGGTGCATACGTTTCTGGTGCCCCCTTGTGCCGATGTGTTCAAATAAATAAATAAAAACAAATAACTGATGCGTCTCGTCACTGCCGCCCGATGTATCAGAGACAACGATAACCAGTCACTGGGAACTTTCAGATCGGAAGGCTCATATTTTGTAACCATAGAGCAGAGATGGTCCCACTGATGAGTTGTACACTTGATCCCCTAGACTCTCATCAGAAAGGCGCTACAGGTAAACACAAGCCGCTTCGGGTCTTCACATAAATTGATTTTGTCTGCTACGATACCAACAGCACTCTTTGATTCGCAATAGCTCACGTGTATTTATCTTGTTTTATGATCGTTTATATGGTGCTAGCTAAGTTTACTTATGAAATCAAACTACTAATGTTAGTAAGCAACCAACGAAAGTTGAACACCCGAGATCTCAACAACCAACGAGTTTCGAGGACGACTTACAAAATCGTATTGGATTGTTCATAGGACATAACAAGACACCCAAAGACCCGAGCACTAACAAAGCAAGGCTTATGGACGAACCGAATTTCTCCTGTCCGCCGTGTTTCGTCAAGTAGTTTGAGCGAATGATTAGTCCTAAATACTTCAGCGCGCGACTGTAAGTACCAAGAATGACATTTGACAATGAATTTCAGATACTGTAATTTCCGTGAACGCAAACTTGACGAAGAAATAGTGATAAACAGCTTGTCATAACAACTCCATTTGTGGGTAACATAATGAAAATCCGATCACGGAAGAAGGAGCACTACTGTTTCTACTACTTAAATGCTATGCTATTAAGACACCATTGTAAGAAATAAGGCAAAACCTGGATATGAAACAATTATACGTTGTCCTATTAGTGAAAAATTGGATGACTTATGGTGCGACTTTGAGTTACCGGGAAACAAATAGAAATCTCATACCAATAAAACTAACGTATCCGATGGCCTACCAAAGGAGTAAATGAGAACAGAAAATTTGCATTAATTTCTGTATTCGACAAATCAATGTTAAGTGGAAACAAACATGAATTAAGGTCTTATTAACGCGTAAACAGAAAACTTATCTGAAATATATGTACAATATTCTAACAAATAGGTTGGACTGAGAAGTTAGTAATCTTCAGCACCCTCGGGCGGACGTCGGGCGGCACTGAATGGTGAAGTATTGCGCTTCGTGGACTTTGAAGAGGATGAGTGGTCGTGACGGTGACGATCGTAAAGTTTTCGCGAACGTGAACTGGATCTAGATCTACCAAATCTTCGCCTTTCATCCCGAAAATCATGTCTGGATCTAAACCGACTGCCACCACTTTCGTGGCGACCATGTCGGGAAGCATTGGAGTGTAGATGAGAACTGAGAAAATAAACAAGAACAGAATAGCAACTGAAAAATGGACAAAAACACTTAGAGACAATAGTGAAAAATACCTAAAAATTCACCTTGCGTATATCTTAATCGAACTTTACAATCTATGTTAAATAAACTACTTTGGGCTTTAAAAGTAAATATACCTTGTGGAATCGATTGCCTCCGCAATAGACGATGACTCCAAAATTACCTAATAAGCGGAATTAAAATCTGCAATAAGTACCTTTTTAAATTATTCCAATCGAATCACATTAATTCATCGGGGAACTGTGATACTACTAACCACAGCTTACGTTTAGAAAAAAGAACGTACTTTCGCTCTACACTCCTACCACGGCTGCGACGACGATCACGATCCCGAGAAATAGGAGAGCGATCAGCTGGAGATCGTTTATCCCGTCGTCCATAACGAGAAGAGGAATTCGAATGCTTCTCACTGTATTGTCTTAAATAGTCACGAATTTTCGCGTAGCCAAGGTGCATTTTACCAGACAAATGCTCTTCAACTCGTTGAGGTGCATCGTCTTTGATTCTGAAGGCTCCACAAATCTCACAGACTTCCAACTCTTTAGTCTGAAAACAAGCAAAACAGAAAACATTAAAGAAATAATAGTGGCATACCTGAGTCATTCCGGGGCGCGCATCACCCTCGAGCTGTGATCGCTCAAACTTTAGCTGTTCACACAATTTAAGAACTCCCTGTGCTTGATCAACCTTTCCTTCAGTTCCCAATTCCTCAGCTTGTTTCACCAAGTCATTAATTCTTTTGGTGAGCGCAGCAATTTTTTCTTTCTTTTCACTGGCTCCGATCGGATCTGGATTGTTAACACATTTATTGACTGCCAATCGCTCATGTCCTCGCCGAATTCTTTTTTCAACATCCTCCAAAAGCTGAGTAAGATAGTGAACAAAATCTTGCTCGTACCCCATCTTTCCAAAACGAGAACTCTTTTTATACGATTCTCTCATGCGCTCATCATGAGATTTAGGACACTGACCCAAATCCGTCTTTGTATTGACAAATAAATCATGAGGACAAAACCCACACAAATAAAACTTGCATACATCATCGTCAGACCAATGTGGACCACCAGAGCTCTCACCATTACAAGCATTTCTGTTTTTACCCATTAGCTCATCCAACAGAGCTTTCTGAGCGGCCAGAGCCATTTTCAATGACGAGAATAACTAGAAAAGAAACAAGAAATATGTCTAGGATAACCATCAGGATAAACATTTAAAGCGATAGACAAAAAGTGAATTCATAGCAGAGGACTCAGTAATGAGACACGCCTCTGTACGCCGTTAAGTGGGAGCCAGTGAATCGGTAAAAGAACCCAGACACTGAAAACTGAACGTGTGGTCTGAACATAAAGAAATCAACATTGGAGTGGTTCCCCATACGGAAAATCTTAGTAAAAAGATGAACGATCGAATGCTGTGTCAGCGACGCTACTTCGCATCAGTTTCTTCCAATGTAACAATAATGCAGATGAATTTACAACGTGATATTGTGTTCTAGAAAACCCTGTTACTTCTTGCATTAACTTAAGTGAACTACTAGTGACTGTGTTAATAGTCTGAAAAGGGAACGACCAACGTAGACACTTTTATCACGTATGTCATAATCCATTTATAAAAAAGGTGAACTGGTAACATCAATTTTACAAAAGCTGCACGAATGTCTCAGGACTACGGCGGTGAAACACGTGAACAACTGAAAATAAGTTAAAATGGACCTAGAACTAACGCTTAATTATTAGGTGACGTATCAAGAGTACGTTTGTGTAAAAAGTGAACTCACGAAAATTTGAAATACACTAAGACGAATTTACAGAAATATCATTAAACGGACTTTTAACCTGACTAAAATTTCGAGCTCAAGCTATAAACTACAAAAACAATAAGCGAACAAAGTTTAGTAGGTAAAGTCCTCTTCAAAAACTGTGGGGACCAGCAGCTGCAGAGTATTTTCACGGTGAGATGACCACGTAAAAACAGCGGAATTATGCTTAAAGTGAGAGTAATGCATGTAAACTCAATCTAATAGCATAAGATAACTTCTCAATACTCGACAAACAGTAAGTGGTGTTCGGTACACCAGGACCTCTACTTACATATCTATCAGTAGATATATGTTAGTTTCTGGACCATAATGGACTGGTTGCTCATGTCGAATCCCCTAGTCCTTCAGTCTTACACAACGTTGCATCTGGCGTACACAAGCCGACCAATAATAGCTTAGATAGAGGACATACTCCAGAACTACGTAACACTGCCCAATGGAGACCTCATCACATAATCAGAAGTGAGGTGAAACCAAGACATGGCTGTCTCAAGTACTTTATGAAGTCGATGCATCGAATCACTGAACTAAGAGGAATTTCGAGCTAAAATAATGACGAGTGGGTTTGACTCGCAATACAAATCCGAAAAAAAAATCGTTTCTGAATAGTTAGAACATTAAATGAAGACATCTAAAATAGCCCTCTATATCCAGAAAACATTTCGACTTAACAGGATTATTTGGATGTAAAATCACAATCAACAGGTAATCATAAGAACATTCATGCCAATTACGATAGCAAAACAGGCTTCACAAAAAGAGGAAATTCGACGCATCCTACCAAGAACACTAACCCTTGTATGTGCGAACAAGTCTCAGACAATATGTCGTCCTACCTCACCAACAAGATGATTAAAACACAAAGTTCGACTTCCTGCAAAAAACTATTAAAACTGATATAATCAACATTTTATGAACTCACTTTATCTAATTGTTGTAGAATATATTATTTTTGTTATGACCTTGAACAGTAAATAAAGGCGTAACTTGAAAGGCTTCGTAACAGTTAATTGCATGAATAACTTCTAGGTAGCGCATGACTTTTAATTGTGCCTTAATGAAAGATGAAATTATATACCGTCATTCTCTAGTAAGTTACGGCCTTCTAATAACAATTTAAGTACGTCGGATCGTTCCCTGTTGACGAGCAGGACAATGTATGCAGAGCTCAAAAAGTCCAAAAGGAACTTGAATCATTAAGAGTATGTTATTTATAAAAACCAGTAGATTAAAACACTAGTGCTTTACACGTAGCAAGTCTGTGATCGTGTGTGTTTCTATTAGTGGCATAAAAATATGTTCAGACGATCTGAAAGTATGTTTAGTTGGAATTTAACACTACCTTCCAACAGATTGTTTATATGGCCCACGCTCTTCGCAGAATATCGTACGCTACTTGTGATGCCGTCCACAAACAAGTCGCATTTTTGGCGAGAGAACCATCAGGGTTTGGTAATCTACAATATTGCCATGTGTTTGTGACGGAATCGCCATGTGATGTAAGTTCTCAATGCATGTCATCTTACTTCTTAAATAAAGCATTTTCATTTGTGATACATTCGCATAATTCTTAATGGCAAACTTTGTGAGCAATAGGACGCTCATTAACATCAGAAAACCAAATCTAAAACTTGCATATTTCTCACTCAATGTCGTCACCATAGTCAATTATTTTCTTCCACAGAATAATATGTGCGTGAGGATATTGTGTCATGTGTATCCTGTGTGTACGTACACTTTTGACTTAAGTTTTGAAGTCCAACATCAGTCTGTTACACTTACTAAAGGCGTTAATTGATCCGGGCAGTACTGTGATTTGTAGCTGGATACGTATCGTGATGATTGGTGACATAATATACCAGTGTAAATAAACCAATAACAATCAAACAATTATTAAACTTTCCTTGTTTTTAAATTTTTAAAATTTTAATACCTTCGTTTACTTAACTTCACTGTCACCATGTATAACAAGTTTATTATCAGTATTATTATCATCCTGTAAAAATGAGTATATATTTGCGATTGTACAGCTTTGAAAATGAATTCGTTGAAAAGAGAACTCTTCGCTGAACTAATCTTTCTTATTTGATGTCTTAATGAGATTTAAAATTGTCTTCACTTGTAGTAGTTTTCTCCGCGTATTTCGGTGTATATTTTCTCATGTTTGTTGTATGTATTTGCTGAAACTACGTAGAGGTCGATTTGTATTGATCACTGACCGTTTATAAGAAATAAATCCCGTGTGATAACCTTAAAAAAATCAGCTTGATTTACAATTAATGTGATCTTTATAATCCTCTATTATATTTCTTGACCTTAAAGTGGGATTCGACTGTTGGTCATGAGATTTTGTGTGTCTATCACTGAAAAGCGTACCAAGTACATTAACCATGTACAGGCTCTACTCGAACACTACTGATCCAATCAGAGTTCATATCAAACTGTTATCTGGTTCAGTAACCAAGTGATTGTCCGCTCTCCCTACTCTTGTTTGACCTTGTCCTAAGCATCCTTTTAGATGTACAATTCATCTAGCTTATCAGCAACGGATCTTTCACGAGACTTCCTTACTGGCTTAGAATACACAAATAATATAGTCTTGTTTCTGAAGACGCTAATAAGATGAAGTCTTCTGACCACCTTAAGCAACAATACTACCATGTTTGGAATATAATTCTCTCCCTCCAAATGCAAAACTTTGTTTTACGATTGGCTTGTGTCAGTCTCCGAATCAATGATACGGAACTAAGTAGTTAAACACATCGACCGCTTCACTCATCTAAGGAGTATCATCAGTTCTAATGATCTGGTAACTGACGAAATCTCAACGCGGATTCAGAAGGCTCGACTAGATTTTGTCAACTTGTGGCATCGACGAGATATCCGTCTTCCAATCAAAGGATGAGTTTGCTAAACATCAGTTCGATCCGTTCTGGTTTTATGAGACCTTGAATGACATGGCTCAAAGTCGTTTGCAATGACGCAGGTGCATCCACTCTTTGTGTTCTTCCAAATTCCAATCTTCTGAATTCTTCATGTCTCTTTCTTTCTCTTCTTTCCAAATTTATTTCACTGGATTATACTTCTTGAATAGCATCTTCATACCCTAATCTTTCTGATCAGTGCTTATACTTTTACTACCCCTACCACTGTGTTAATGTGGTATGGCAACTCGAACTGATGTACGTACGTACGAAGTTCTACGTTGTTGCTTGCTGGCTGACTGTTCTGGTTTTATGGTTGTCTTCGAAGTATTGCTCGTATATTTTGAGACCACTGAATAAGTAATGGGGTACTAGGTGACGATGGCGAATCGATTGATAAAGTGATAGATCTTCATCAACTGACCACCTGGTTTGGTTTGGGCGCCCAGCCCTCACACAAACCAAATGATTTGTGTGACGCATATATATTTGGTGCCTCCCTGCACTAATTTTTATCTGTTTAAATAAATGAATGTCCAATCACCATGTTATCTGGTGTATGAGTAGTATGGAAGAAAGATAGGGGCGGTCAAACCAAGGCGTGGGATCAATCCATGAAGTGGTTAACAATTGAACTGGTCTAATGTTAATACATGCAGACTGCCTGATTGAGGCCCTCGTGATTATTGTAACCAACGGTTACAAACTGTATTGTTTGTAATAGTACATGTGCATTCACTTCTGGTGTTCTTTTATAACCTGACACCCGAAATCTCCCTATATATTTTTTCTCCTTTTTTCTCTACCTAATCTCTCCTCGTACTAAGAATACTTTTACTAATTCTGCTACTCTGTTAATTCGCTCTAACATTTCCGTCTTGCTTTGCTAATGAGGGGACGGCAACTTGAACCGATGTACCGGGTTCTACGTCACGTTGAACTGACTGACTTAAGTATACTAATGAACCTCCTCTTTGTGGTTCATGTGATAACCTTAAATTTTGACTTCAAAAAACATCTACGTAACTCAAAATTCATGTCAACAGCGTAGCATAATTTTTCCCTTTTTTATTTGTTAGACACATTTTCTACTCTTGATTCTCTATTTTCAGTTGTTACCTTAACATTTTCTAGTTATCATTTTCGTTTTCGGTTGTTAGTTTTTTTTGCTGTGTTGACGCGAAGTGTTGCGATTTGTTTCGACACATTTATGCCAGGTTTCACTTCGATGTGTCACTTTCTTGGAACTGTCGTAATTGTGTACGACTTTATGATGATGCTTGGTAGTTGAAAAAACGGTTATTAACTGTGGCTTTTCTATTCTGTCATTTTGTGATGAGTTTGGTTTTATAAATCAGTTCATAAGTAAACTTTCATTGGTGGATTTCCAATAAGTTGAGGAAGTTTTGGCTCTGTAGGGTACCAGAGAATGAATCTCACAGTGAGAGCGCCACCTTACAGAAATAACGAAGGCAAAAATGTACAACCGATCAGAAAGGGCTAGTTAGTAGTAAACAATACATTTCGAGTGGTATATTCAACCATTCCATTCAGCCACCGAGCGGCATATATAAAAGTGATCAAATAACTGCAAATGGTATTTTAAAACCGAAAAATTTATTAATCCAACAGCTTTACTATCCCCAATATATGCTACGTAACCTTAATAACAATCACACTGCTTCGGTTTGGGCACCCGGGCAGTATCACAGCCCTCACACATATCAAATGAGATTTGTGTGGCGCATATGCATTTGGTGTTTCCTTATTATTTATTTATTTGTTTATTTGGACACATGAATATTGGTACAAGAGAGCGCCAATATATATGCGCCACACAAAACAATGAAAATTCGAGAGGAATACAAAGAAAGAAAAAAAAAGCTAAGGAGCGCAACAACAAAAAAAAGAAAGAACAATAACGAAGAGATTGGTGTAAAGGTAGTGTGGTAGTAACGAGGGAACGAAAAGGTACAATCAGAAGAAATCTTTCAGGTAAGGAAGACACTACCACTTTTTATGAAGAAAGTAAAAGAAGGTTACAACAGGATCGCCACTGGCTTCTATTCTGGGCCAAATATGATAACGTCTTTAGCCGCTGTGTTTCACCATCTCTCGGACCCCATCTAGGGAATCGTGAAAGACCAACAGAAACCAGCCCTTTGCAGATTTCTTTCATACCACGACACCATGTCATACACTGACCACCTCTCCGCTTTTTCCAACCAGTCCCAGAGTCGGTAAATAATGCACGACGTAGAATTCTCTGGGACGACATTCGTAGAACATGTCCAAACCACCGAATTCGATGTTTCAAGATGGTGACACCAACTGAATTATCGTCTATGTGCCCGAACACACGATGCCGAACCTCTGCATTACTGACATGGTGTTGCCACTGAATGTCAGCAATCCTTCGGAGACAGCGATGATCGAACACAGAGAGTCGTCTAACGTCCTCAACTTGGAGAGGCCAGGTTTCACAAGCATAGAGCAAAACTGCTCTCACCGACGCGTTGTAGATCCGACCTTTTACGGCCAGACTAACATCACGAAGGCGCCATAGATGGCCCAGATTGGCATAAGCCCCTCTGGCTTTCACTATACGTGCATTGATCTCATCACTCACACCCCCACCAGCACTTATGCAGCTACCCAGATACACGAACTTCTCGACTACGTCTATCTGCTCACCATCCAGGGTGAGTACAGGATTGGAATCCTGCCAGTCTTGTAGGAGTACTTTGCACTTCGAAGGTGCAAAGCACATACCATACCTACGGACACTAATTGCCAACTGATTAAGCGCGGATTGCATGCCTTGGGCATTATCGCACAGTAAGACAATATCGTCCGCATACTCAAGGTCAAGAAGTCTTTCTCCAGGCAACAGATCCACACCACCATTACATTCATCAGAGCTGTTCACAGAATGTCATCGATGGCAAAGTTGAAGAGGAACGGTGAGATTGGGCAATCCTGCCTAACCCCACTGCTTGAATGGAACAATGGAGAAAGGTGGTTGTATGGCCTCACTCTGCCTGAGGTGTTTTTATATAGGGCTTTTAGGATGTTAATAAACTTCTCAGGCACACTCTTCTTTAATAGACAATC